TTTTTCACAGTTTGTGGTCACAGGCAGTAATGGTGGGTTCCTTCAAAGAATTCTGGTTGGTACCGTTTTGTTCTGCATCGGGGGATGGGGGGTTCTGGCCCCCAAAATATACCTCTCAAAAGAATGGTGATCAAGGAATGGCCATCAAGGATTGCTGCCACTTGGTATCTCTGCCAGAAAGCTGCTCTTTACCTGCCAGTCTGTCTGGCCTGGTTATCCCCATGAGCAAGCTGATCTCAAAGGCCAAAAGCTGCTTCTTTGAAGGGATTTTTGGCTGACAAACATCTCAAAAAAATGGAGCAGTGGTCGCTCTGGGCCAGCACTGGGAAGAGGGACAAGCTAGCTTCCGGTCTGGTAAACTAGACACAAAAGCGTAAGCGTTGAGGAGAAACTCTCCCCACCCATCCCAGTGTGCTTCCTTGGTTTTTGCTATACCCACAACTTTGATCCTTCACTCATCCTTGTTTGCTGTTCTTTGATCTGTGGCCTCCTTCCTATTCCCACCCTAAAGGGGGGAAAGAATGGTCCATTTGAAAGGATTGCTGGCTGTTCTGCAACTCCAACGAATTTGGTCCCTTTGGGGCCAGAGTGGGAAGGATTTAAAACTAGTTTTAATTTTGGAAAACCATGACATCTGCATGCAGGATTTGGCAATGTTGCACCAGTAACCACAAGAACCACATATTCATGTGAGTTGATCTTCAAAGCTGGGCTTGGATTTGTACTTGCTGGCAGTGTGCATTAAAACTTCAGTGAGGGTTCCCTCCCAAGCGCATCCTCATACAACCCCCCCACCCCATCCCCCCTCACCCCTCAGAGACCTTGCCCCTGCCCTTAAAATGGCCAGAGGTGGGGTGTGCAGGTGGCCCTTTTAGCTGCTTCCAAATGAGGAGACTCCTGGCCAGCTCCAGCAATGTGGGTTTCTGGAACCCCTTGCCTCCAGAAGCAAAGTGGGGGGGGGACTCTCCGTGTGAACTTATCTAAACTCTAGACATTCTGAGTGACCAGGGCACATGAAGCCTCTGGGCTATCAAGATACTTCCTTGTAAACTATGAACTCCAACAATGATTATTTAACCATTGTGAAGGTATACAATGTCAATTTGGACTGAATGGCCTGTCTACTGTAGCCCACAGCTAAAGGTGAGAGAAAGGAGCAGGGGAATGCCATTTTAAACAGTGACTGCTTGGTTTTGAGAAGGAAGACAGAATTTGATCCCACAATACAAAATCTCACAGAAGTAATGCTTTTCAGACAAGATTTATCCAAATTTTCCCAACACAGCCCATCCTGAGGGCCAGTTAAACATGACTTTGAATCCATTCCCAACAGCTACAACTTCCCTTCCATTCTTAGCCTAATGTAGTTGCAGGGTCCTGATCGGTCTCCTAATATGAGGGGCAGAGTCATTGTAGGCCCTGGAGACTACCTGTGTTCCTGCTTGGTCACGATGGTGGCCAACACTCTCTAAGTGCTGAAACAGCTTGAAATTCCATGGATGATGCAGCCAACTGCACCTTAAAAACCTCATCTGGAAGCAGATTTGGTCACTATCAGACCTGCAAATTTCTACTTAGACAACAGGATAGGCAAAGAACCCCCTCAGAAGGAAGCTTCATTAGCTGGACCCCAGCTACTAGTTTCCACTGGCTTTTAAAGCAACTAACTGCTTACCTCCCCTGCTCTTAAATAAGAGCTTTAGAATAACACCAGCTCTGTTGGGTTTTCAGGAGTCGACAAGTTCGGCCTATGCTGAGAAACATGCATCTGGGGCTGGAAGCTGGGCAGAAATCCGGCTGTTACATGTTCATGCAAGACACACCTCATCTCAGCTGTACTTTGGCACCCTTGGGCACGACTGTCAGACCTGAGATTTTCATGAGTAGGAAGCTGCCCTTGGCAAAGTGTGAGAAAGGCAAGTTCTGCTTCCGGCACTGCTTTGAGGGAAAGATAGTTGAACGTATTTCAGTTGTTTAACTTGTTTTAACACTGATTCCAGCTCTGTATTGAAATTTGATATTGTATTGTTGTATTTTTTTCTTTTGTGATGCTATTTTATTGTTTTGCATACATTGTTGTAAACCAATAAGAGCTTTGGCTACTGGACTTTATAGAAATGAAATGTAATACAAGTGAATGCAGTCACTGGATTGATCCTGAATTCGGAGAGTGGGGACATTGCCTGGGCCTGGCTGGGTTACATTAACAGTAGCTTTTTGCTATCCTCCTAAACTGTGTGTGAAAAGAGATAATATTATACACTGATTTCTATATATGTATAGATATTTATATCTAATCCTTCTGTCTTTAAAAGAGGTTCACAAATCTCAGCAAATCATTAGCTGCAGCTAATATGCAATTATTGGAGAATCAGCTAAGATACAACCAAACAATTGTCATACCAGTTCCAAATTCTCCCAGTCATTAGATTTGCAAATATGGGAATCTGAGACTGAAAT